TCAAAGTCGTGAGTGTTCATTTAGCAATCGGATTTCTTATAATTCGTGGTGGTGGAAATCGTGGAGGCATTTGAATTAGACGCGGTAGACTCAGAACAGACCCGAAAAGCTGTTAGACTATCCTGGGGGTAGACTACCCCTGGTGAAACGTGATATAGAGCAAAAATTCACGATTATAGGGGTCAAGTGAAATCTGATGAAAATAAGTAATCGATGGTATCTGCATCTATTAAGAGAATATTGTCGAGGGAAAAAGCACCTCCATTTGAAACCACCTACCTTACAAACGTTGAAAAAATTTCTTTTTCTCGAAATACATATGATATTTCCCTTTTCAAAAAATCCGTGGGTAAAACATTGTCGCCGTTTCATTCGTTCTTTGATTGGCTGTCGAAGACACATGAATCGCGTTCGTCGGACGACCTCAGTCGTATCACTTGACAGTTTGCATTTTGACAGTTCGTGAATCAATAAGAAAAAAAAAAGATACGTGCTACGCACAATTTTTGAAGGATTTGTGGTTTCAGCAAGATGTAATGTGGATTTGAGATTACCCCTTATTGATTTAAAGAGAAATTTACATTTGTGAAGCGATTGGATAAAAAGTGAAAATTATAAAGAATGAATAAGTTATGAATAACTTAAAATGCGTTATATTTTACATATCTTGATAGATCGCGTTTATCGCGAATAAAAATAATTTTCGAGGAAGGTTATAAAAGTAATCATAAGTATACGAAGTCTTCATGTATTTTCTTTGCAGTATTATGATGTAGTTTACTAACATTTCAGCTTTATTTCGGCAAAATTGTCTGTGCTTGTACAGCTGATTGAGAGAAGAATCTGTGCATGTGTGCATCTGTATCTATCAGCGTGTGTATTGCGACGGGAAGTAGGAGTCTCGCACCCACACCCTGCAAATATTTTACTCCGCCATCTTTTCCCGCAATAGTTCTGCGATCGGTCGGGCGTTGGGCTTTGAAGGCCCGTAACGGCTCGCTTTAATTTATCTGAGGCGCCAGGTATGCCTCGGCATACCACGAGCCAGTGGTCTCTTCCGGCTACGACCTTCCGCCCGGCGCCCGGAACACGCGAGAGGATTCGGCCTCCGGCCACTCAGCCCCGCGGGAACCAATCCGGGCCCCTCGCGGCACGGCAGAGATGGGGGGTTCCGGAAAGGAGCGAAACGGCGAACGGATTCAACGGTGAGGCAGATTGGGATTCTCAAAAAGCAAAACCTAGACCCTCCTTAACCAACCGATTTCTCGGGAACTCGTTTACTATATCCAACTGGACACTTTGGTGCCCTCGCGGTACTATTACTTCCGGTCCGACGATAAATTGGAGCGGGCGGCTCCCCTCGACACTTCCCCTGGCGCCCCGAGAGAACCAAAAAGGGCCCAAGGCCAAACTTTACCGCCGCCCGAGCGCCCGTGACAATGGGGACCGATTCGAGCCGGGCGGGTTAATAACGATTATCCGGGGGGGGGCACTTTTCACAAAACATAAACCCGGTATTTACACGCGACAAATGAGTCCCGGGTCTACAATCCGAAAACGACCGTGACGGCGGCTATGCGCATTACCTTAAGGTCTCAACGCGGCCGTAACCCCCAACGCGAAAAATGGCGGACGGTGGGTCGCACGTCGAGGAGGATTCGGGACACTTTTATCGGGCGTGGAGCGGAAGTGAATTTTTAATGCCTTTCCCATAACCGGATTCGCTTACCGGTACGGTGCAGGCATCACCCCAAAGGCGGCAGTTACAATCACGGTCCTACCCAAAGCTCGTGGCGGTAGAAGAAGGCGGTTTCCCACACTCCCAGCAGTTCTCGGTGTATCATGGACAACGAGCTCTGCGGTTCGCCAGGACCTCCGAATTTCGGAAGCCCCCCTCCCGTACTTCCGTCGAACGCCGTCAAAGCTGCCATGCGCCGTCAATTGACCGTGCGTTAGATGTCCCGATAGGTATCGCGGCACAATAATTGGGATCCCGATTTTTCCTCCTCGACTCGTACCGACCGTGGTAATGACCCGCCAGGTCAGCCCATATGCGATACTTATTAAGTAACAATTCTTACACTAACGAATTTTTACAACACATACTTACAGCTAAGGATTGCCCAAGATGACGCCGAGAGCCACCAATCGATGCTGAAATTAAATAATACACAATTCGGTACTCACCGCTACCGCTATGCCCCCTTGATTGTGACGGCAGAATCCTGCCTCATCACAGTATGTACCTGTTTATGTTTGTGTGTCCGCGCCCGTTTGAACGCATCCTTATGTGTCTGCGTGTGTCCGTGTCGGGCTCTCCGAATGTCTGTCGGTGCGTGTGAGAGGGCGGGAGAAGGGGGAGGGTCGACGAGAGGAGTGAAGAGGGAGAAAAGGGGTGAGAGAGAAAGAGGGGGTAAGGGATGGTGTGGGAGAATGAGAGAAAAAAGAGAGGGTAAGAAAGGGTAGAAGACGGTGGGATACGGGAGGGTGAGAGAGGATGCGAGAGGATGAAAGTGGGTGAGAGACGGTGAAGGAGATTGAGAGACGATTAGGAAGGCCGAGGGAGAGTGAAAGAGGATATGAGGTCTGAAATAAAATTTCGACGTACTTGAAGACTTGCATATATCATGGATATTGTCGCGTCCTAAATTCAACACGGACGTGATCGCACGCCAACTTAATTTTGTGCGATTAATTCAATGAATGAACAGACTTTTTGTTAACGACAAAAAATATAACTTTATTTGACAAGCACCAAGTGCGAGGTGTAGACGTGTAATTCTGTATGTGTTGACCTTATCGGTTCATCGGCTGATGAACTGTCGTAGACAAGAAAAACTATGTTTAAGGAAAACGTTGTGCAAAGATGGGGATCGCGATTTGATAGGTTGTTGCTGAACAATGGTTTCTGATTGGGCGCTTTTCTAACGGTAATTATAAAAAACGCCCAGACTGGCGAGTGAGGCGGTACCTTCGTAACGGTACCCTAAGGTGGACTCGCACTCAGGATTTACTGTCGGAAATCCCTGAACTTGAGTCAGCGCCGTTGACAGTGTTTAAATACAATAAACGACCAAACGGTTCCAACTTAGGGCCAATAATTGCCGGCAGAAGGTATGCGGGGATTAGGCTTCCTCAAATCAGTCGGAAATTGCCTCTTTGCCGACGACGCTAGTCACTGAATTACTTTATGGTTTTGTTCACGTCGCAACATGCCGCCCGCCTTGAACGATCGGCGTTCAATTATTATAATCTATACAATGAAATAAAAGGCTGTCGCTTATATGACATTGGCATTGTCCTTATCCGTGCTAATGGGAAGAGGGCAGATCCTCTTTACGCTTTTAACATAAACACCATTAGCAGTTTTTAATGTCACTACACGAACAATGCTGTCCTTTCCAGGATGAATTTCGATTATTCGCCCCAGAATCCATTTCATTGGAGGCAGATTGTCATCCTTGATTATGACTAAGGCGCCGACCTTGATGTCCGCTGCGCCAAGATGCCATTTGTTGCGCACATGTAACTCGTTTAGGTACTCCTTGTACCAGCGGGTTCAAAAATGTTGTTTCGTCCTTTGGATATGCTGCCATGCTGACAATCGATTTGCAGCAATTTCATGAAAGTCATGCTCTGGGACGCTCATCAATGAATCGCCTACAAGGAAATGACTTGGTGCGAGTGCGATAAGGTCATTAGGATCGGAAGAGATTGGTGTCAAAGGGCGAGAATTTAAAATCGCTTCGATTTCAATTACATATGTGTTAAGTTGCTCAAATGTAAAAAGCTCTTGCCCTACAGTGCGGATCATGTGATGCTTAAATGACGACCGATGCTTCCCAGAGGCCGCCGAAATGTAGCGATTGTAGTGGTGAGAAGTGCCAACTAATTCCTTGGTCCGCTAGATTATGGATGATTTTATTTTCGTTCTTCTCAGTAGAAAGAAATTCTTGAATTTCAACTAATTCATTCTTAGCCCCTGTGAAGTTAGTCGCATTGTCTGAATATATGTTCTTTGACTTACCACGTCTCGCGAAAAATCGTTCTAAACAAGTTAAGAATGCTTCGGTCGTTAAATCACTGACCAGTTCCAAATGTACCGCTTTTGTGCAGAAACAAACAAAAACGGCAACGTAAACCTTAAATTTATTGCGATTTCTGAATCGTTTTTCTTTGATAAAAAACGGTCCGCAATAATCGACACCAATGTTTTCAAAAGGCCGTGTCAAGCGAAGTCGATTCCTAGGTAAGGCGCCCAAGAGATAAGTCGGTATCACGGGTTTGGCTCAAAAACAACGAATACATTTGTGAATAATGCGTCGCGTAGTGTTTTTGCCATCGATAGGCCAATAATGCTGACGCACTGCATTTAACGTAGCTTGCGTACCGGCATGCATGTGTCTTTCATGCTCGTGAATTATTATCAAATTCGTGATGTGATGTGAACGAGGGAGTAGCGCCGGATGTTTATGGTCATAGTCAATTATAGCGTGCTTCAACCTACCGCCTACTCGAAGAATATCATCAGAGTCTATGAATGGATTTAAAGAAATTAATTTGCTTCTCGTACTAAGGCTCTTGTTATTCTTTAAATCATTCATTTCTCTTCCAAGTTCTTGACCTTATACCATTGTTAAAATGCGATTGTGAGCGTTTTGAAGCCCCGTTATACGGAGCTCCCCAATTTGTTTCTTATTTTGTGACGAGTTTAATCTAAACCGCAAACAGTATGCAATAATTCGTTTAAGCGTGATGAATGATGAGAATTGTTTAAAAATGCAATAGTTGTCGCTGACAACGTTAAGACTAACTGCTGCACGTCGTTCTGGGACGTCAATCGGAGAAAGCTGTTTAATCGGCCATGTATGCTCATTCCGAGAAAGCCATGTTGGCCCGTGTACCCAAAGGTAATTTTCTATTCATTCCACGACTGTTTGGCCTCGCGAAACATAATCAGCGGGATTATCCCCCGATGACACATGGTACCACTTATTTACTTCGGTGTTGGATTGTATTTCTGCGACCCGGTTAGTAATGAAAGTCTTTAACTGATGCGGCGACATATGAATCCAATACAATGCTATGGTCGAATCTGACCAGAATCTCACGCTATCAAACTTGATCATTAAAGCAGTCGTGGTAGCTTGGTAGAGTTTGGATAACAATACAGCCGCACATAATTCCAGTCTTGGAAGCAAAACCGATTTTAGAGGAGCTACTCGCGATTTTGAGCACACGAGTCGCACCGTATGGAGGTCACTGCAGTTTGTCGATCTCAGATAAATGCAAGCGCCATATGCACCTTCGCTGGCATCGCAGAATCCGTGAAGCATAATCTTTGAAGAAGAATCGGCGATCATTTTTCGTGCTATTTTGAAGTTATTCAGTACCGGCAGCTGAGATCTATAGTTTTCCCACGCACTATGGAACGATTGTGGGACCGATTCGTCCCATCCTGAGTTAAGCTTCCATAGCTGTTGCATAATGATTTTAGCCTTAACAATGACTGGCCCGAGAAGTCCTAGAGGATCAAAAAGTTGAGCGATACTGGACAGAATCGTTCTTTTGGTTACTTATTTGTGAACATTATGAATGTTTACCGTGTAATTGATCGTGTCATGGGCCGAATTCCAATAAACTCCGAGAGTCTTTACGATAGTCGATGAATCTAAGTAGATATTTTGTTCTTGTACCGAGACTTTCAAATCGTGAATTAGTATGGGCTCGTTTGATGACCATTGACGAAGATTAAAGTTGCCTAACTTGTAAGTTTTATGATCTCGTCGCGCAATGCTATTGTTTCCTCGAATGTGCTGGCTCCTGTAAGAACATCGTCAACATAGAAGTCTTGCCTGAGCGCGTTCGCGGCACGCGGGAACGACTTTCCTTCTTCAGCCGCTAACTGATGAAGGCATCGAATCGATAAGAACGGCGCTGATGCCGTTCCAGACGTGGCGTATCAAGTCTGAATGTTTTAAGAGGAGAGTCGCGATTTTCGCGCCAAAGAATTTTCTGGTAAACCGCGTCCTTTGCTTTGACACGCACCTGTCTATACATTTTCTCAATATCAGCGGTTAAAACATACGCGTGTAGACGAAACCTGGTAATCAATGAAAAGATATCATCCTGAATTGTAGGTCCGACCATCAGTGTATCATTCAAGGAAGTCCCATTTACCGTTTTCGCTGAGCCGTCAAAAACGACTCTCACCTTTGTCGTCAAACTCGAATCTTTAATTACCGCACGGTGAGGTAAATAATAACCTTCGTGTATAGAGGCTGAGTTTGTAATATCGGTCGTGTGCCCTAATGTCTCATACTCTTGCAAGAACTGACTATACTGACCTTTTAGTTGGGTGTTTTGCTCTAATTTCCTCTCCAACGCATGAAAACGTTTTAGAGCCATATCGTAAGATTCTGCTAATTCGCTTTTTTTATCATTAAAAGGTAGCTTGACGATGTATCGTCCTGACGAATCGCGACGCGTGTTTTCTTGGAAGTGACGCTCGCACGACTCTTCTTCCTTTGACATGTATGTCTTTGAGGGATATTCCTCAATTTCCCAGAATTTACTTAACTGAGAATCAAGTGTTGCTGTTGCTATATGACAAGAAGTCGTTTTCGTTTGCGCAATATTGTTTCCAATTGCACCTTTTTTTTTTTCCGGGAGGAAAAACCTTCAAAAGGTTCCCTGCGCTGGTGTTCAGACGCATAGGGATATGTGGGATTTTTACCCGCTAAAAAACCTCCCTTGTGCACTTCCAAAAGGCGCTTCGGAACCGTGTTAAGCATTGCCTCGGAGCGCCCCGCGTCTTGGTGCGAGCTAAGCTTCTTCTGTAGCCCGCCATTCTTCTTCACCCTTGGTCTTTAAGATGCCGCAACACCTTGCATTGATAGCCTCCCAGCTCGCCGCGTCCTGGAGCATTGTTTCCACTATGTTTGATCTGTTGATAGGTCGTCCAATTTTGATCTCAGCTATCTGCTTTGTGTCGTTCCATCTTGGGCAATGGAATATCGTGTGTTCCGCGGTGTCGCTTGAGGTGCAGTAGACGCAAGAGTCGTTGTCTCTCTTGCCAATTCTCAGAAGATAGCTCCCGAAATTCCCGTGGCCGCTTAGGGCCTGGGTTAGGTAGTAATTGACATCTCCGTGGCTTCTAGAGGTCCACGCATGGAGTTCCAGGATGAGCATTTTGGTTCATGCCCCCTCGTTAGCCCTTTGCCAACGATTCTGCCAACTCTCCATGAGGCACTTCCTGTTGACAATTTTCGAGTCGCTATCCGCTCCATAATTCTAGTACCGTTCTTTGGCAAGCAGGTCGATTGGCGGGTCTGAGGCAATAACTTGCAGGGCCATGGTTGAAACTGTGCGGTACGCACAGCAGACCCTTATCAGCACACTCCGTTGTGTCTTCAGCAGGCGTTGTCTGAGCCTGCCGGTTCTGAGGGCTTCGGCCCATACGGGAGCAGCATAAAGGAGTATGGAGGTAACCACCGTGCTGAGTAAACGCCGGATACAAGTTTTAGGGTCCCCTATCCTGGGCATTAGCTTGCGTAGGGTCATGGCCGTACCTTCGGCTTTTTCGGCGGCGTTGTCTACGTGGTGTTTCCACGAGAGTCTGTGATCAAGGTGTACGCCGAGATATTTGATAGTAGTCTTGGCGGTCTTCACGTTGCCCAGGATATCTACTGACATCACGCGCACATGCTTCCTGACAGTAAGGGCAATAACCTCTGACTTCTCAGGTGCGAGTTCCAACTCGTTCTCAGTCATCCAGGTATTGATCGCCGAAATCATCGCCTCAGCTTTCGCCACTACACCCGTCCTCGTTAGTGTCAATTACCACGACAATTAGGTCGTCGGGGAACGCGACCAGGCGGCAGCCTGAGTTGCCAGGGAGATTCTCGAGTTCCAGTACACTATCGTATAGAACGTTCCGCAGTAGTGGCCCCAGGACCGAGCCCTGTGGAACTCCGCATGTCACTGGTCTTGTTGTGCCATCGACTAGGAGGCTCCTATCGGTGAAGTAGCTCATGACGAGCTGGACTAAATACGTCGAGACCCCTCTGCGTTGGAGAGACTCTACTATTGGTCGCCAGGGTGCAGTGTTAAAGGCATTCTTGACGTCTAAGGCAACTGCGAGGCAGATTTCTCTTTGCCTCCAGTTACCCTTGTTCGTGGCGCGAGCTATACGGACTACCTCCTGTATAGCCTCTACTGTGAATCTCCCTTCGCGGAAGCCGAATTGTTTGTCGGATAGGCCTCCCCGTGCATCGAGTTCATCATTCAGCCATGTGACAATAATGCGTTCGAGCACCTTTGCCGTTGTATCGATGAGGCATATTGGTCTAGGGATTGACCCAATCGGCTTACTGGGTTTCGGGACCAAAACGAGTCTGGCGGTTTTCCACATTGGAGGGATGACTTCTGAGGACATAATCTCAGTATAGACCCTCGCAAAAACCTCTGGATGGGTGCAGGCAGCAATTTTAACCACTTCAGGTGGTACGCCATCTGGGCCCGCTGCTCTGTTTGGCTTGAGTCTTGCAGCGGCCCTAATAACCTCGTCCTTTGTGATTGGGGGCGGTGGTTGCGATAGAGCTACTCTCTCCTATGCTGTGATTGGTCTCGTTGGGAACAGTATGTCCGCGAACTCCATCTTGCGGTCAGTGGTCATTGTAAAATGTTTCCTGACCCCAGTTCTTTTACACGCTATGCGATAGCCGTCACCCCAAAGGCTATCGTCCACCGCCTTAACGATACAATCCCAGAATTTACGTTTAGCGGTTTTGGTACTAACCCGTAATACTTTCCTTGCCTCGCGGTATGCGGTGCGGCTGGCGTCCAGTTCGTCGCTACTTATGATGCGCGATGCCTTGTTTCGCGTCCACGCTCGCTTGTTGCGTAGACAGATTCGGTGGAGTGTCGCAATCTCCTCATTCCACCAATACACCGCTTTCCTGTGTGGTCTGCCGGTTCCGGATAGCGCGGCCTGGCAAGACCTTCTGAGAGCCTCGATCACCGTGCCCGGTTCCAAGTTCTCCAGCCGGCTGAGCTCGAGATGAATTTTATTCATAAGTGTCGTTCCAATTGCACCTGAAATGATCCAACCTAACACTGTTTTTTTGCAAAATCACCACTTGATTAGATAGTTTAATCTGCCCTATACATAAAAGTTTGTAAAACAATTCTGCTCCTATTAAAGCGTCAATTTCAGACGGCTTATAAAAATCTGGATCTAACTGGATGTTTTCCGGTATTTGCATCAAAGACGGGTTGATTTGTTGCGACGGCAAAAAGTTGGAAATACGTGGCAATACTAAAAACGTTAGTTCTGAGACAAAGTTTGTACATTTTTATTTGACCGTTGTCTTTACAGAGTCCTTAATTCGCGTGGAAAGTTGATTCAGTCGTGAGACTGGTATGTTGATCGCATTTCTCTGTAATCGTAAGTCTGATGCTAATTTCTCTGTGATGAAATTAGTTTGAGATCCTGAATCTAGAAGTACCTTACACTCAATTGGTCTGTTGAAATTATCGAGAATATTTACCCGCGCGGTTGATAATAATACTTCCGATGGCAAATATGCGGTCAAAGTAGTACGCGGCAGATCAGAGGCTGTCTCGTATTCACTTCGCGCAGGCAATTGTCGGTTCATCGGCTGATGAACTTCTGTCGTAGACAAGAAAAACTATGTTTAAGGAAAAGCGGTTAGCAACCCTTTAAATGGTTCAGAATAAAGATTAGTTACTTATAGAATCGAGTGGAGGCCATAAAGTGAGGAAAATGATAGACCATGAAAGTATTGTACTAGCATACATCGTTAGATATTTTTGAAAGTTTATGTACTGTTACTTTCACATTATATATTAATAATTCAAAGTTATAGGAACGGTTATTAATCGAGCTGTATTTGTACTTGTCTTGGGGTAACTGATTTCGCTACTTTAAAAGGCCATCGGTACAACGGTCAAATTGTTCTAAACTTGTCAGCAACGGTTGATTTCATAACTTTAGTAGGTTGAACATGAATAATAGTTTTTTGGTCTTTCTTTGTAAAAATAAAGTGATTACTACTGCTACTTCAGAAGGTTTGTTGTACTTTTTTTTCCATTACTAACAAGATAGTGGCAACTGATTCTTTGTAGGAATGTTCGTAGTGCTTCCGGAAGGTGAAGTGACATCAGGCAATGAACTTGTCTTTTTTTTACATCAAAGGTGTTTTTGTTGGGATTTCTATTCTTTTTGTAAAGAGGTAAGTCAAAATAATGTGGGATTTTCACCGGACAAAATATTGAATGATATATTAGAAATATTAATAAAACNTTTGGAAATGCGTCGCCATGGCAGACCCTGAAGTGGCCACTTTGAAGAACCCCCCCAATTGGTCATAAACTTCGAGTCCTTTCTCTAGCTATTTTCTAACCACGTGCAGGACACTCCTTCGAGAAAGAGTGCCTCGCATTGTCCATGGCCAAATGTTGCCCAAATGTTCTTCAGGCCGCCTCAATCAGATGGTTCAACAACTTCAATATAATAATATTTGGAACCTTCTTAGCTCTATTTCTTCATGTACGTCGCCGATCTCTTGTCTATCACGGAGGTGAAACTAACGATGTCAGTCACAGCTGTCTCTTGTATAGTTGAAATCGCGGTACTGTAAATGTAATGGAAATTACGGTATTATTCAATGTATCCACAATTCATACGACCGCTTTTACTTACGTAAAGTTGAGTAACGACGTAATGTTGAGTGACAATTCTAATATCATTTGACATCGTACAGAGAGATGTAATAAATTCAGATGCATCTTGCTGTATACTTTGACAAAATTGAATTCCTGCAAAGCGTCGAACAGAGATCGATGAAAGACATTGCTTCTTCTGCGTATAAGCTTCGAGTAACATTACTAAAGCATTTTTATCTTTCTGGCTGATAAGTTGTTTCCTAATTTATTTGCTATTAAATAAACATTGAATTACAGCATTCGCGTATGACGAAACACCATCGGTATTATGAAACCCGTTGATAAACCAAGTTCGTTTGGTAAGATTCATTTCCTTTGGCAGTTGACAATTTACTACATGATTACTTATTGCCCAAGCTGCATCGCGTACTTGGAGCCCACGACTCTTCGAAATATTTATCAGAGAAGATCGGGACGATATTGTTTTCGTAGTCTGTTATATTCAATTATAGCTAATTCATTGGCTTGAACAGAGTGCGGATCGTAATTAATTAAATGCAGACCGTTAAGTGACGTTACTCTTGACAGAGCGACATAAGCTTGTCCATAACTAAATATGGAATTACCTGCATCTATAACAGCGTTTTTTAAGCTCAACCCTTGACTTTTGTGAATAGTAATGCCGTAGCTGAGGCACAGGGGAAACTGTTTTCAAATAACATATGCTCTATCCATTACTTCAAATTTAACACTTACACGTTCAATTTCGTGCACTGATTCATTTAATAAAGCTATCTTTATTTTATCTACACTACTGTCATTAAGAGAGCGAGAACAGGAAACGATTGTTCCTATTGTACCATTAACAAGTCCCAACGTTACGTCAATTTTACTGATCATAACTCTTGCTCCAACTTGAATGGTAATTACTTTTGCCAAACCAGCTGTTCTAGTAGTATCCTCCTCATCTTTGTCTAATATCTTAGACACACGTTTCTTAAAATAAGGAACACAGTCTACAGAATCAAGCGCTGTTAATTTTATTTCTTCAGCCGGTATTCGATGTAACATAGCATCGTTTAGAACCTGAGGCCCTATTCTCGAAACTGTGACCCTAGATGTCGCATGCGAGAATAAAAACGATATTCTTGAGTCCATCTCGCGTACGACAATGAAGTCGCATACGAGAATTTTCGAACGTTTCATCTCGAGTGGGTCCTACCCACTCGAAGCTGGAAATCGCATATGAGAATTCTAGGGACAAGCATACTTTTCCTTTAAACTGAGGTTATGTGACATGGTGGTTAGGAGAGCGCAATTGTCAAGAAAAAAATGGTAAGGAAATAAAAAGTGTAATTACACAAATTTCTGGTGGTTTAACTGAACATAGGTAATGCGACGGGTTTTCCTGCTCCCGGTCGGCAAATCGTCCTACGCCCGGGTTCAAGTCTGAACCCGGTCGAGCCCGGGTGCCGAGCCCGTCTGAAGTCGAGCCCGGTCTTCGGCCCTTCCGACGGCCCGATTTATTTAGGGCGCCAGGTGCGCGCGCGCATCTCGGGCTGTCGGGACCCGGTAGCCCGGAACACGATGACCCCGCCTGCTAATCGCGGCTCCCGGACGTAGCCAACCGGCCACTCAGCCCCGCGAGGACCTTACGCCCTTCGCGGCACGGCAGAGGTGGGGGGTTCGGCGCGGTTCCCTCCGAGTGCGAAGGTGTCCCTTCCCGTCCTACGGTTCGGCGGGAATTGCGGGAAGGCAAAGAAAAGATAATAAAAATGGTGGCGATAACGAACCCCGACGGGATCGAACTTTTATTCGTGGGCCGCCCACCTGGATCGCGCCTGATAATCAATTAACCGTTACAGAGGAAAAGGGGGCGCCCGTCGAACGAGACGGGCGCTTGGCGGGGCGCAAAAAAAAACAATAAAATTGAGTCGCGGTGGAATTAGGGATTCCCCTCGGTAGGGGACCCTACGGGCACAACGCCCGGCCGGGATGACTTATTGGGCCCCCTTGGTGCCTTGATGAGGGCCCGGCGCCCGGAAACTGCGCACTCGAAATGGCTCCGGCCCGCGGTCGGCACCCTATCCTCGCCCACCGCGTCCTGCGCGCACGCAGCCTCGGAATTTATGATTTCTTTCACGGTATGGGGCTCGGTAAAATAGGCGGGCGAGGATCTCTTCCCGGACCTTCGTACGGACTCTACCACGGGACGCGATCTCGACACTCCTTCGGCCCACGAGGAGTGGAAGGTGCCGCCCGGCGCGACAATGGCGGCCCGGACCCGATCCTGCACGCGGTCATCGGCCGACCGCACGCACCGAAACCCGGGTGTCGGCACCCTCCGGCCGTCGTCGGGATTCCGGCTCACAATTAACGCGACACTAAATCCGGGACGAACGCGAGAAACGGCGGACGGCGAAATTGGCTCGCGACAATATCGGCGGGACAGGAAACAGCGCGACTTAGGAAGCCCCCTGGGCAGGTTCGGGCTCACCGGTCGCCGGTCTCTGGGCGGGAATTCCTCCGGACGGAAAGAAGCGCAGCGGCGTTCGTCGGGATGTTCTCCTCGGGACGGGACGGTCCCCAGCTACGGCGGGCGTCGGGACGGGACGCTCCTGTTCGGAACTCTGCGGGAGCCGCTTCGCTGGGCACCGGAGGTCCTTCCTCGTGGTTAGTCCCTTTGGCAATGGCGGTGTCGTTGACCGAACTTCCGCTCCCGCCTTGATGTTCACCTAGCGGGCCTTGCTGAACCTAAGTCCGGGAGCCGACCTGCCCTCTGGCCCCGCCGAAGTGGGTCACTAGGCCGACTAATTAGGTCGGCCACCGGCCGATGGCAGCAGGTCCTCCTAATTGCGGGAGCTTCACGTGTCCCCCGAGATTGGGCAACCGGCGGTACTCCTCAGCCGGCACGCAGTGCCTTGGTACCTAGTGTCTTAATGCCACCCTTTTTCTTTATTTTCTCGTTCCCCCGCCTTAACCTAATGATTGCCAAGGGGACCCCTCCGCACTCCGGCCTTTCATATACCCCTTGTAACGGGTGGAGAAATTCACCACGTCACAGTAAATAGATTGTAACAATGATTTAGTTGTTCGAAATTAGCACAAAGTTGTAAATCGAAAATTAACTTACTATTAATTTAATTAAATTTATAGCAATAATGGATCCGCAAAATGTAGTAGCACAACTTCATATCGCTGCGCAATTGAAAAACGCTTATGATTTCGGTGAAGGATCACGTTTTCGAGAACGGGATGATGCATTCGACTTGCCCGAATGTCAGTTCGTTAAACTATTCAGGTTGAAAAAAGAAACGGCAGAACGAGTAATTAATATTGTAGTTGAAAATTCTACAGAACCGTCACGTTCTTCAGCTTTGGACACAACTGTTCAAGTGAGTTTAGATAATACGTAAAAGTTTATTTAGATAATTTAGATGATACCTAAATACATATATTTTGTTCTTAATAAAACGTTATTCTTCTGAAGGTTTTAACTGCATTACGGTTTTATGCATCCGAAAGTTATCAAAATTGCATTGGAAGCAATGTTAATATGGCAAAAAGTCAACCCTCCGTCAGTAGATGCATTCACAATGTAACAAATATTTTGAATTTACCACAAATTTTCGACAGTTGGATACATTTCCCACGGAACATAGGGGAGGCAGAACAGTTGCGTAACAGGTGAGGGAGAACTTATATTTTGTATAGTAATGTCTATACATATTCTACTACATTTAGTTTACTTTTTCAGATTTTGGGTGGAACACCGCTTTCCTGGAGTAATTTGTTGCATAGATTGTACACATGTAGCGATTTTCCCACCTTCAAAAGATGACCAACAATTTCCGGAACATATTTACGTTAATAGAAAAGGATATCACTCGAGTAACGTCCAGTTGGTAAGGAAATGAAATTATAAAATTAAACCAGACATTTATGTAGATAATGCTATTAAAATATAATTTGCAGATATGTGATCCAGATCTGAAAATAATAAATGTAAATGGCCGATATTCTGGAAGCACTCATGATTCTTATATTTGGAACAACAGTAATGTTCTCCCTGTAATGCAAGAAATGTACAATCGGGGACGCAGCTTCTTCTTGTTAGGTAATATTTCGAAATTTGTTATTGTTTCTTTCAAACAGTTCAAGCTGTAGTTAAAGCATCGCATTGCGATAAAGCGATCATTGCTGTTAAAATACTCAATACTCAATAGGCAGCATTGTGGTTACCCAACATTTTTCCAAGTGTAACTTTATCAAATATCTTAACACGCCACAGCCCGACGATTTCAAACTAAAACCAGCCTGTACATCCACGCTCAACCACAACATTACAGACCGGTCACGAATATACTCGCGATGGTCAGTAACGTTCGGGCACTAAAGTACGATTATACGCGAAACTGGTCCATAAAGTGACAATATCCCCGAAGTAATTCTTGAATATGTTCTGAGAGAAGTGTTTACGATGTTAATTTGTTTTATTTATAGGTGACTCCGGTTATGCACTAAGACCGTGGATGATGACTCCGGTTGGAGGCGATGAAGACGATGTGGCAGTACAGAGATACAACTCCCGGCAAAGATGTACAAGATCACTTATTGAACGATGCAACGGACTTTGGAAAATGAGATTTCGTTGCTTGTTGAAGCACAGAGTACTGCATTACCAGCCAGACGTGTGCTCGAAGATCATTAATGCATGCGCAGTGTGGCACAACATGTGTATTCAGGACAACTGTAGACCTGACCCAGAAGAGGAAGAGGAAGAGCTAGACTTCGGTATGTTTGATAATGCGATAAATGAAGCGCAAAACATTCCAATTAGAAACGTTAAGTTAGCTGCTGGACGAAGAATTCGCGATAATTTAATAAGACGCTATTTTATTGCGTAACGCCTTTTTCATTTAATTCAAAATAAATATCTTTATACTGCGACGTGGTTTCCGCCACAAAACTCGACGCCCGAACACTACTAACACTCGCGGAATGGGCGCCAGTCGCCACCGGGCGACACTAAATCCCTACTCTACTTCGCGACTCTACGTTCGCGGTTCACAATACTCGGGGTCGCGGGTTCCCGGTCTAAATAACGATACTTATTATACGCCGCGATCGCATCCTCCTCGCTGCTACCGGTCACTGAATCTATTCTTATTCAAAAATGGCGCGGCCCTAACGGACAAGGACCGGGCGCCTTATCACAAACAATCAAAAAAAAAAATATAACGTAATCAAGGCCGTATGGCCAATACCTTAATTCTCGACGAAGGGACTCCTGGTTTCTCGTCTCTCTCGTCTCTCTCTCTCTCTCTCTCTCTCTCTCTCTCTCTCTCTCTCTCTCTCTCTCTATTTCCAATTTCCACTCAAAAATGCACTGGCACGTCTCTTCTCCTCGGCGGTCCATCCAAGAAGAAGGAGCCAGGCTCCCTTTGTTTTTTATTACCCGGCAACACGCGCGAGCCGGGCACGCGACGCCGGACACCCCCCCCCCACCCGATGACCGATCCGATTGGCCGGCGCATCCTAAAGTCTTTGGCCATTGGCCCGGGGCACGCGCCTCGGACCGCTCNATTTTGACGGTTGTTCCATGAAAATTGGTCGAGTGCTTCTATATGAAACAGCAAACTCACCGCCTTTCACGGCCAACTTTGAAGCCTGATTTCACCCCCTAAAAGTGTTTATCCGCCGATAAAAAAAAACACGGGTCCCTTAGATTTTAGTCCTCTATAACATATTTAAAAATGAACAAAATCGGAGGGGGACACCTCAGGTACCTTCCTTGTAAGAGATATACCATACGCGTTACCGTTTACTACGAACGAATATTGAATTAAATTAAACATGTATCGCTAGTAGCAACGAGACACGCGCGCCGAAGTACGCTTCTCGTAGAATGTAAAAGAAGAAAATTTACCGTTTATAGTTTCGGTATCCGTTAATTAATTGCTACCAAAGGGTCGTTCTCGAAATCGAATTGGAACCAGACGAAATCGCAACCAAAGGTGCGGATACTCCATCGAACGGAACACCGAATCCATGTACAAATGTTATATACCGAATGTCGATTTTAACCTTATTAAGATGATGTGAAAACGGCGTCAAAGAGGTTTCGTTTATGGTACGTTTCTCCGAAAGGTGGGTCCACCGAATCGGTTCAAACTCGACAATGTGAATATCAAGTCTATCAGGAAGGTTCTGAATCCATAATAATTTCAATTTTTTAAAATTTGTTTATAGACATATACAAAATTAATCCGACGGACGAGACACCTATTTGCGAGAAAGGGATAATCGGCGCGATCCGCGAATATAGCGAAAGCGAAAACCAGAAAAATTCCCGACAGAAAAACTAATGCATGCTGCGGAAAAATATGTTTTGAAACTTAAATGCACATAGCGACGTCCCTTACCCCGAGCTAACAGTAGGCAATTATATTCAGCGGGTCGTCCGAGGTCCTTACCGCGCCAATCCGAAAAAGGGGCATTTATGGCCCCTGCAATAAGGGAATTACCGCCCGCGGAACCTTCTAGCTTAAAGTAACGAGTAACGAAATCTATTCTTCGGCGACACTAAATCCCTACTCTACTTCGCGACTCTACGTTCGCGGTTCACAATACTCGGGGTCGCGGGTTCCCAGTCTAAATAACGGTACTTATTATACGCCGCGATCGCGTCCTCCTCGCTGCTACCGGTCACTGAATCTATTCTTATTCAAAAATGGTGCGGCCCTATCGGACAAGGACCGTGCGCCTTATCACAAACAATCAAAAGATATAACGTAATCAAGGCCGTATGGCCAATACCTTAATTCTCGCCGAAGGGACTCCTTGAGGTCTCTCTCTCTCTCTCTCTCTCTCTCTCTCTCTCTCTCTCTCTCTCTCTCTCTCTCTCTCTCTCTCTCTCTCTCTCTCTCTCTCTCTCTCTCNGGATTCGGAGTTGCTTATCGCCTTTCACATCACCTTAATGTATAGGATATTGGCCTTCTTTCGATGTCGGGTCTTCACGGGATTGCTGTCTTAGTCCGCATGTTCTTCGATGTCCTGCTCTTCTTCATCGTTCGTAACTTCACCCGTTCCTGTCGCTGTCGTCGACTTCTTGGCGATTCTTGAGATTGCAACGCGAAACCAAGCCATCATTTTCGCCCGGATTGCCTCCCGCGTTGCGTCCTTGCAGTCTAGTGTTACGTCTGCAATGAGAATTTTAGTGTAACGAGAATACAAGTTATAAAGATATCAATTGCATTTTAGTTCACGAATAAAAGCTTTAACTCACAACATATTCTCTGTACAATCTGTAAGTTACGTAGAGGTGCCTTTCCCTTACGTCCTTCCCAGCTGAATTTTGCGGCCAGATCATCGCTGAATGTTGCTCGCAGCATTTGCTTTATTCGGACCTCGGTCCTGTTTCCTCCGATGGACCGTAAGTAGGCATCCTGTAATGGCGATGAAAAAAAGACTTGGTATTCTTACTTGTAACTTTAATGGGCATCAATGAAATAATAAAAAAAAAAGAAGAGATAACACGCGGTACAACATTCAAAACTATTATCGATGCTACATTGGATTAACGAGGCCGTCTAACGATCCTACTCACCATGTTTTCTCTTTCTCTTTCGTCCTGAAGGAGTCGCTCGACGTTCTCCACGTCGGATTCCGTAACCATAGGAAACAGGATCTCAAGATGTCTATACGGCCTCTGCTCCAGTCCAGTTTCTGCGTTCGTACCCAAACCTCGGCGGACGAGAATTTCCAGTAGTTCCAGGGCTCTGTTAACATTTTGATTCAAAATCAAAATGTCTCGACCCATTTCATTGAGTCTTCCTGTAAATTGAAAAACAAAAATCGATACTTTAACCGACATTCAATAGTCATCGATAAGGATTCCATGGACGCCAGTACAGATTTTCCTTGGCATCTCAAAGTATTTGAATCGCGGTTCAAATGACAATGACAATCTGCCAAGCAAATAGACAAGGGCTATTTCGTAGTATCGCGTGGACTTACTTTCAGTGTTAAGCGCGTGGTCATTTCTTCCATTTTCCGTGCCTCGTTCCACCGTTATCGTCGGTACTGAGCGCCTTTCTCTTGGCGCTGTTTGTAACGTGGCGGGCATTTTACCTGTATTAAAGTGCGTTTGCGTTAGCATAGAAATACCGGAGTGTTTGAATACGAACGAAAGATTAACGGAAACAAATGCGACTTACATCGCTCGGGACCATTCAGCACCCTCTCCCTTATGATAATCGGCGCCACGGGCTTTTTCCGCGTGGCAACCAAAGAGCAGGTATCAATCGAGGTAGCTGCAATGTCATTTTAATTATTTATAGTAGCGGCAATGCATTAACTTAAAATTTATTCGACGTACATTTATTCAAAAACCTGGAGGCGGAATCATTCGACAGAGAGGGCGGGATCGCGGGTACCGGAGGCAACCTCTTCGTCGATGCCCGACGATTCGTTTCGTCCGAGTCGCTATCGGATTCAACTGCCTTTCGTTTACGCAGCTTCCTGTCCTCCTTTGCTTCCGCATCCGTGCTGACGTCGGAATACATTAATGCCCTCGCAGCCCTTTCATCGGCTTCGTCGAGGGTTTCTGGCAACAACAGGATTCAAGATATTTTAGTTACCATAACTAAAATTATCAACAAGACCGAACCAAGGATCGACGGTTAAATTTGTGCACAGCATACCATATTTCCCAAATATTCTTAGCACCGGATATTCTCCCCAGGAATCATTCGGTTCCTCTTCTTTTCGGATAGCCCGTCTGATACGATCGTCCGAAGTGTAAGGCGGATAGCGACAGGTGCAGCGATCATTTTCGAGCCAGAGTTCTGGAACCACTTGCACTCCGCGTTGGAATTCAACTACGGCGAACATCGCCTCCTCCCTTAAGTACGCTGCACTAATGTCTGAAATAAGCTAAAAAAAAAGGTCAATTCACACTATTCGACGCGATGCGACACGCGTCGGATAGTGCGAATCGACCTTAACGCGCGGCTACAAAGTCAAGATCTGCACAACAACTAATCGAAAGTTTAGAGTTTGTTGGCGAGTCAAGCGATTGCAGGTTTAGAGTGGAACCGTATAAAGGTAGTCCTTCCTAGATAACGATAAACTGACTTCGTTCATCCCGATGAATCAGTGGTACGATCGCGTAACAGTTCCGACTAGCGGGTAGCAAGAGCTTCACGCACTTTGTGACCGTCCCTTCGATCTTCCAGCAGCAGGGGGTGGACAGATCACGGGCGCGAAAAGTGCTCAACAACGACGAATCGCACGGTGTGCGATACAAGTTTTCGACCGACAGAAACTTGCGCCCTATAGCGACCAAACCTCCATCGACGGCCGTAGCAAAATTTTGTACCACGATTACGTCATTCGATAAAAGGAAGCAATTATCGGGCTCTCGTATACCTACAGAAAAAGTAGGGAACTGCAAGGTACGGAACTGTGGACCCCGGCAACCCGGTAACAGAAGACCATCGCTGTGTTCGTTCCTTGCTCTCATACTTCTACCGAAATATCGACGATCGTTGCGAACTTCTAATCGGGCAAGTTCGGAGTAACGATTGCTTATCTGCTGCAACGGCTTTTCTGGCTTACGAATTAAGCTTTTCAAATGCCGCAGAAAATTCTCAAAGGGAAACGCGCTAAATCCGTCCAATTCCCCGAAATTAGAAACGTCCGAAGCCAAGTGTATAACCGTGAACATTATGAGACACATACTGTCTTCCAAACAGATCCGAAAAGCAGGAGACGAAATGTCTCAGCAAAGAATTGGCGTATCGTACGGTATCCGCGTCTTGCGGAACACTTAGAAGACGTATCGCGACGTGTAACGCGAGGAAATTTGCGACGATGCCGTGACTTTCATCGGCTATGGCCGTTAAGGCTACGGGACCCGAGTAGAGCAAGAATTGTCTGAATTCCGTGGCTTTCCACTTGCCGTATTCTTCGATGTTTCGGGGTTTTCGAGATAACTCTACCGGTATTTGGGACCCAATTTGCTCGAGATACTCGGTCATAACGGTAGCGTTTCGGGTGGTCAAGAATCGAACTCGAAGAGGACCTTTGAACCACAAAGTAATCAATTTCTTCACAACTCCTATGCACACGAGGTGCATGTAATCAAGCGGGACTTGAGAAACCAAACCAAAATCTCTAATCGTAGCGAGAGCGCTCAAACCGAGCCGGTATTCTCCTTCGCCCCGCGTATTCAGTTCTGCGCGCATGCCATCGTCGGTTCGAAGAGGAGAATCCATATCAGGGAAACATATTCTTCTCTCAAGGTACTCGCCTTCCGCCGTGCATCTGGAACAGCTGGAATAACCGGCGTGACCTCTGGTCATTAAAGTGAAGGATTTCGCAACCGCGTCACATATGACGGAATGAATGGAAACATCAATTTGAATTTCGCCGAAACCGATACCGGTGTTGCTTAGGCTTTCAGCCTCTTGGACGAGAGTTCGTAAGAATTCGAAAGCCGAGGATGGCTTTCCCTCGCCGAACCAGCATCCGATTAAAAATACAGGACCATAGGGCAATACGCGACCGAGAATGGGCCAAAGCTGTTTTGAATTGCTTCGGCTAACCGGAAGACCGTCAATTCCTATCTGCACCCGATCAAGTGTCGGATTCGAATTCGAGTTACGCATCAGGTACTCGCGAATCCCCCTTTCGAGCCCAAAATGACAGTATTTTCCATTGAGTGGTAATTCGCATACGTTGGCATCTCGAGGCGTTTTCAACAAAACCTTTCCATTTCGAGGCAAATCGTAACGAGGAAAATGTGTTTTCAATAAAGAAAGCAAGGAAGTCAAATGAAGATGTTTAATTTTACACGCGACACCCCAGGAAGCTAAATTGCGACGAAGACTGTCGACTTCGTTAATACAGAGGTCGCTACTTGGAGCAGCAATCGCTGTGCTTCCCTCGAATGAATTTAAATCGACATTCAGATGTAGTCGATTTGTACATGAAATATCGCAGGATCGCGTTACGTTACTACACGTTCCATCGTTGGCATCGACCGACCGCGGCACTTCGGTCGAAAGGGGTGTGTCGGCCAAATGATCGGTTAACGTTTTACACGACGTCGTCGATCGAGACCGTAACCTTTCCGCATTATGCCGACAAGCTATTAACCGTCTAAGGTGCCTACTAGACATATCACTCAACGACTTTCGTTTCGGCATGTCGACCGTTGAGCGTTTCGCTCTTTCTGCCCTTCGTACGCCTTAAAATCGTAAAGAATGGACGATACTTAACTTACGAAACCCCCTTTGGTATCCAAGACGATACGCGATGAAATAACCGCCGCGAATGCCGCGATTAGCGGACTCTCAAGGGC